GTTTCAGCTGCGGCCTCCATGCTGGGATGGTGCTGACCCTGTCGATAGGTTGCTCGGTCGCCAGTTCGGTGATGAGCTCGGCAGAGGGATCGGCCCGTGGTCTTTTGCCAGCCCGGCGAGTTTCTTGGCTAGACTACCCGGCGGCTGGAGAGGCTAAAGCGACCACGGCGGCACTTGATTGACCGGCAGCCGGGGAACGGGCGATGACATTCGGTATCTCGGCCGAGGTTGCGGTTAGAAGATTTTTGATTTGGTTTCTTTTGGCCATTTCTTGTGCGTCTGTTAACCGGACTAAGGGTACGTCAGGAAGGGTAAGGTCTGGAGGTGGCGAAGGAGCGCGGAGGAAATCTGTTACTCTACTCCGGCGCGGAGCAGAGTACCTGTAGGTCGGAGTGTAACCGAGTAAATCGTTGCAATCTCGGTGGGAATATCGAAGCACGGTCCGAATTGCCTCGACGTTGGGAAATTGATAGTTGGCTTGCAAGGCTTGGATTGCTGCAAAAGAAACAGGAAAACCGGTTAGTTACAGTATAAGAGGTAAGCTAACCAAGCAAGTTTGAGTGGCTTACATGAGGAACCGAAGTCCTTGTTTATAAACCAGCCCGGTACCTCGGTTGTTTCGTAATTGCCCGACACCCAGAAAAAATCGTCGTCGTGCAGATCTTTATCCGGGGTGCCGGTTACAATTTTTTCCTTGCCCGGTTTTATTTTCAGGTAATAAGCTAGGCCGTCACCGGTGTGACCCATTGTGTATTGCCTCAATATCTCGGCTAGACCTAAGTTGGTGCCTAGCCGATTGTTCAATTCATGAACGCCGTTGATAATTCTATAAGTGTTGGTGGACACTTGGGTAGGTGCCAGCCCGGTGCGGCGGAGGAACTCGGTTGTAAGTGGGTTTAGTGGGAAACGGAGGCCCCCTTCGACAGTTGACAGCACCGTGAAGGGGCATTGGTCTAGTCTGCCCCAGGGTGTTGTCTCCTCTTCAGCCAGTTCGAGATGGACGTCGGCCGGGATGCCGTACTCCTCTCTGAATGCAGCTAGCGCGGCCGGAGTATCCACTAGGAAGCGAAATTTCCCCATTTGTGGCCGGACTGAGGTAGCTCGGCTGAGGTGTTTGGCACGGTGGCAATTGGTAATTGCTCGGTCTTGAGAGCCTGAGGAATGGATAGTGGTCTCCTTGGACTCTGCAGGAAAAGGATGGCAAGTGTAAGTGTGAGCGCGGTCGCGCGGAAGGAGCTGGACTTTAGTTCGGTCATTGAGGGTGCCAAACCACCTCGGTCTTCTAAGCTAACTAAAGAGCTCGGTCGCCCAGACAGGCCAGTTGTTAGCCCAGTTGAGCGACCATTTCCTTTTGTTATCTCGGTTTTTGTTGGGGTTGAGACAAACATGTTATTTGCTCGGTTAGATGGGTTTTTTGGATCAAATGAAGACCAGGAGCCCGGTCCGCCCCAGTTCTTCAGTGTTCTTCAGGAAAATAAAGAACACCAAGAACAGTGGGAGGTTTGGGACGGTTTCTATGGCCTATGCCCTAAGAGCTACGTTTTAGTGCCCTAATGTGTGTAATATTAAAGAGAATAGCAACAAAAGAGGGATCAAAGGACTTACCAGTGAAGGGCAGGAACTATTCCCTCGAACACGAAGAATGGCAGACGAGGCTGGGAGAAAGTTGCCTGAGCTCTGAAGCGAAGGGTTGAAAAGAAGCAGTAGGAGCGAGTTGGTAAGAAGAGGTCCTGTATGTATAAACTAGAGAGAGACCGCCCAAATTTAAAATTCTGGCAAAAACGGCGGGTTGGCTGCTCGATAACCAGTGGCAGCCCGCCACGTGTCACCATTTATGGCGACGTCAGGACTGAAGCGACGGGTTGAAGAGTCGAAGAGCCAACCGGGCTACTTGCGAAGAAAAGGACGTCAGCCGAGGAGTATAACCGGGCAAGTTTGCAGACAGTTATGTTAACTAGCCCAGTCGCCCTTTGGCATCTTGAAGACCAAAGAAATGTTATCTCGGTCGAAGTGAGTAATCCCAGTCACGCTTTCGCGGATGGGATTAAGGGGCAATTGAGAGGGTGATTTATGATCTGGAATTGGGCTGAGGTAACGGCCGAGCAAGTCGAGAGCCCAACGGTGCATGAGGCCGAGATGATCGACTATCTGTCCGGAGATGGGCTGCCAGAACTTGGGCCGGGCAGAAATTGGGCCAAGTGTGTGCCGCCTCAGACCGTAAAGAAGCTGCTCGGCAAGGCAATGCTCGGTTGGACCGAGCTGCTTGATCATGGGGATGGCTGAAGCCAGACAAGCTGAGTGACCGACGCCCGGAAAGGTATGGTCAGCCGAGGTACCGTTTGATCGGCAGGAAGGCCAATCACAGGAGGTGCCCCGGGCTCGGCTTTGCCGAGATGCCGCCTAGCCCGGTCCTCCTTGGGCCTAGCCAGTGAAGTGCTTGGGTATGAAGCACAGCACGGCCGTGGATAGAGAAGCTCGGCTGCCGAGCTCCAACTGAGAGGGGAGGCAGTTAGGTTTAGGTGACGTTCAGCAAGGTTTATGCTGACAGATGGGATAGCAGAGCCACGTGTCGGGAGATGACTGGGAGTGGATATGAAGCGTAGAGGGTATATAAGTATGTCTGCGCCTCCCATACGGGACACACGAACATTTTGTAAGGAAATTCTTACACTCAAACACTCCTCTCTCTCTCTCCCTATCCAAAAGTGTGTGCTAACTTGATCGTCGGAGGGTTTTTCCGGCCACACACCGCCGGGTAGCTCACCCTTATTGGCTCGCAGGTGATCGGACATAGACGGAACTCGGAAGAAAGGAGTACGGGCTTGCCGGAATATTTGCTCCCCGTACAGTTTTCATTTTTCAAAAGTTATATGGGATGTGCTGAAATCACTAGCATAAAAATCATAATTTTGTGTTGATCTATATATGTTTCCAACATTCTGAATTGAAAAAGATCTAATCTATGTATTATATAAAGAAATTGGTTTTTTTAATGAGGAGTCTTAGAAGAGTTTCAATATTTCATACTAATTTTCTTGACTCCATTGACTAGCTTTTATTTGATAATCCCACATCGAAAAAGAAAAGAAAAAAAAATTATTTTACTCATAAGTGAATCTTATACTTCAATTTCATTTAGTGAGGAACCTTGTGAGAGTTTATATTTTACAATTTCACATAGTTTTTATTTTTAAAATAATTTTGTATGAGATTTTAAAACTCTCATAATATTTAATTTTAAAATAATTATAATTTCACATCGAGAAAAGAAATAAAAAGTGAGTTGTTTCATTTATATAAAATGTTACAATCCCACATTGGGAAAAGAAATAAAAAATGAATTGTTTCACTTATATAAAATGATTCTTATAAAAAGAATTTTAAGGGAGAAGTCTTTTGCAAGCTCCAAACCCTCATTATAAAATTATTGAATTTTCTTAATTTAAAACAATTAAGAAAATTCCCATTGGCTAGCTTCCATTTACCTTTTATTTTACTATCCCACATCGGGAAAAAAAGAAAGAAAAAGTGAATTGTTTCATTTATATAAAGTGAATATTATGCTCCAATTTATATAAATCATTGAAATTTCTTAATTTTAAACAATTGAAAAAATCTCCATTGATTAGCTTTCATTTAACTTTTATTTTACAATCCCACATCGGGAAAAAAAGAAAAAAGTGAATTGTTTTACTTATATAAAAGTTGAATATGATGCTCCCATTTATATATGTAAAAGAAAATTTTTATTGAGATGCCCTATAAACAATACCAAATTTTTTTGAATTTTTGAATTTTAAATAATTAAGAAAATCTCTATTGGTTAGTTTTTATTTAATTTTTATTTTACAATCTTACATAGATGTTTTGATTTTAAAAATAATTTTGTATGAGATTTTGAAACTCTCATAATATTTAACTTTAAAATAATTACAATCTCACATCGAGAAAAGAAATAAAAAGTGAGTTGTTTCACTTATATAAAGTGAATCTTATACTCTCATTTACTATTATAGTATTGTGCATGTTTCAGTTCAAGATTGTTTAAATTTTAAAATAAAATTTAAAGGTTTTAATTAATTAATTTTGTTGTGAATTGGTTGGTCTTTTGATTTAGCCGATTAGCTTGAATCGTTTTCAGTTTGACTGATTTACTGATTTAATCACGGTTTTAGTTGTTTTATCAAAATATATTATTTAGATTTGTTTGATTTGAAATAAACTAAAATTGACCTTATTAAAAATTGAACCACTGAGATTACTTGATTAGAAATGAACTTCTCGTCCAAATAACTGTTAATTTTTATTTTACAATCTCACATCAAGCAAAGGAGAAAAAAATGAGTTGTTTTACTATATAAGCCTTATGCTCCTATTTAATATTGTAGTATTGTGTACATTTCAATTCAAGACAATTTAAATTTTAAAATTAAAATAAAATTTAAATATTTCAATTAATTAATTTTTGTATAAATTAGATGGTCATTGGACTTAGCCGATAGAGGGAATCCTTTTGGGTTTGACTGATTCGTTAGTTCAACTGCAATTTTAGCGAAAATATATTATTTTATCCCTTCCATAGCACTGGTGATATCCTAATTTTTTTAAAATGGAAGGGGGAAAGAGCACATATTTGACAGTTAAAAGGCTTCAAATTTTGATTTCACTATGGGTAGATAGTATATCTTTGACAAAATGATCTACTAATAATTTTAATGCTACGTTTGGATTTGGTATTTCTTGAAGGAAGCAAAGAACTAAAAAAGATTTGTCAATTTTATTTATCCAACCAAGCAAAGGATTAAAAAATTCTCAATATAATTTTCCACTCTCTAACAAATTATAGAACCAGTGTGTAAAATGCCCACGGCCCTACCAATGTTAGGTGCACCGGTGATGGTGGGAATATCCTAACTTTTCCAGAACATACTGATGATCACTCCCATTATAAAATGACATGAAATAGCCTGAAAATTATTAAAGACAGGAGCTCACTAAAATAATTTAAATCAGGAATGATAATAGTTTTACACTGATTCTATTAGATATAACTGTTAACTAAATCAACAGAGTTCACCGGTGGCTAGGGCTTTGATGCTACGGTTGGAATTTTCAGCGTCAAAAAAAATAACAATTATGATAATAAAAATAAACAAATAAAAAATATGTTAACTAGCCCTGAGCTGCCAGATTTAGAAAAAATACGTCACTTACATAATTTTGTTTTAAATATAAAAAATAAAAATAAAAATACTAAGATATACAAACATGATGGAGCAAAAATGAGTAATTAGCTCCATACCCCCAAAATCTTTTATCACATCTCAATGTCTTCCAAGTCCGGTAAAGGAAATCGGAGGATTGCTGCAATACCGGTCAGCTGCGCCAGTTCTGTGATCCCATATAATAACTTTAGACAATCTAAACTGAGCTTGGTAAAATGCAAAAAAGAAAAACAGAACTACAATTTTTAATACATCCTCTATCATAGAAATACCTTTTCAATGTTATTCAACTATATTTTTGTTCGAAAATAAAAATATTTTCCAAACTTAAAAAGACCCTATTTCCGGTTATACAGGAAGAATTTGATTTAGTGTTCTCCATCTATTCTGGCACAAGTTATCAATGGCCAAGACAACCATCATAATGATGCAAAAATCAAGTTATAAAACAATTGACACCAAGGAATATATAATGAAGAAACTGTACTTACGTTCTCCAGAGACATGCATGGACGAGAATATGAGAGCAGTGCCCCCCGAATCCTTGACTGATTTGACCAAATTAACATATTTTTGCCTTGTCGCTATGTCGCAACTCCTGAGATCCAAAATGGCAATAACAAATCGATGAAACTAAGAAAATAAAAATGATAACTAACAAACTTCAGCCAAATATGTGTGTTAGAATAGTGCATGCCAAAGTTGAAAGAAATACTTGATTAACTAAAATAGGTAGTGAAGAAAAAACACTCGGCCTGTTTGCTATTGTTTTATTTTCTGTTTTTGTTTTCAAAAAAATTGAATATTGGAAATGGAAACATGTTTGGTAAACTGTTTTTGTTGCCAAAAAATTGCAATAGTTTCCCAAAAAAAAAAAAATGAAAAACAAAAAAAAAAGTTCACTTGTTTTGAAAAAAAGTTTTTAAACCCCTCCACCCTCCTCTGGCAACTCCCCTCCTAGTGCAGCAAACCCTTCCAAACCACCAACCAACCACTACCCCTCTTCTAGAAGCGTCCCACCCCCACTCCTACCCCTCCACATCCCCTTATAAATCCTGCCTCCCCTGAGAACTCACCAAACACGTTTTTTTATTTAATTTTTTTATATTAAAAACACATGCACCAAACATGTTACAAAAAACGTGCAACATTACCAAATGTGAAGGTGAAAGCTTCATCAAATAGATGTGTAAAATATCCCATATTTCCAAGAATCTGCCTCCAATCGGTGTGTATTTTGAAGTCCAAAGCGGAAGTGTGCTAATGTTACTAACCTGAAGAGTTCATCAGTGACAAGAAGGGTTTGGACAGCCATTCTTTCATGGGCAACCTCAACATGCTTTGGTCCATAACATGCACGATCTGGATCCTACATAAATCCATTGAGACTCAACAACCACCTAAACAAAAGTAAATTTACATATATAGATGCATGCATATACAATGCACAAACCTATACATATGTACACACGTGAGTTCTTACATATGTATCATATTCAGAGTCTTAAACTATCATCCTGGATAGATAGAAGTTCATTTGTCAGTAAAGTAGCATGTTTGCAATAGTTAATTCCTAGTGAGACTAATAATGACCATAGTTAATTGACAAGCCATCTCCATGACCACTCATCAAAAGGTTGCACCAACTCATTACCTTCTTCTGAATCAATATAACAATGACATCATCTCACTGACAATGACATCACAAATCAAAACTATCTAATCTTGAACCAAATATTTGTTACTTAAAACGGATGTCAATTTCATGAATTTACCTCATAAATGAAAAACAATCAGACATGCCCGAATTGTTTTGACATAAGTATCATTGTTCACGCATTTTTGAATTGGCATCACAGTTGCAAACAAATATAAGGAAAATGGAACATAGATATCAAGGGTAGAACCTGACATTAGAAAGCATGTTGAAAAACTCCTTAAGAGCTCGAACCTGAATAAATTGGAAGGAAAAAATATCGACCAATATTAATAAGCATCTCTGGATAAACAACAAAAGCTAAGAAGGGAGAGGATGAGAAGAACTCTCAATTCTCAAACAAAATAAAAAATATCAGAATAAAAATATTGACCAAAGTGAGCCTGCAAAGCTACCTCTTCTGCTGCTTTTGTATCTTTTATAATATTCATGACATTTGGAGCATCCAAAACCTCTCTCAAGCTATGCCTGTAAAAGAAATGTTTGATATTCAGATGATGTAATGATTTCTCTTGTACAAACTTTGTAGAATAGTAAGATATCAACAACAACTGCGAGTAATACATGTGTTAGAACTTTAGAGGCATCCAACCCAAAACCAATTGGCAATAGGTGGAGAAACCTCTAGACTATATTAACAAAGCTTGGGTGGTTTAGAGAAGTGATGTGGGGCAAGCCTATAATACTTCCTTGCATGTACGGCTCAGTCACACATGGAAGTGAGTGATAGAGAGACGAAAAACAGAAAAAAGGTGAAGATTTGGCCCAAGAGACCACTAAGACCTAGCTTTGATACCATGTTAGAACTTTGGAGGCATCAATGAAGATCAATTATTTCACCTAAAATGAGTGATTGCTTTAACATGGTAGAGAGTGATCCACAAGACAAAGTGGCCAAAAGATGTGTAGATCTAAATATGACAAGAGATTCCTATATGTTAACTTCATTGCCCGAAGATTAATGTATCCAATATCAGTTCAGAAACAGCATTGCTCTTATTCAGGGATTCTTACACGCGTGCACACGTGCATGCACACGCGCACACAGAGTTTATGGCGCACTCCAACTCCAAACATACAGATATTTGTCAACACACAGAGAACCAAGAAGAAAGAGAACCTTCTTCAGATTCATATTATTTCAAATATGTGATAAAATTGAATCAGTTACGTTCACAATACAAATTTTCTGTTTAACTAACTCTTGTGCTGTGTTACCAGAAAATGCTAATCCCCTAGCAAATTACATATTGATACGAACGTTCTGAAACATGGTACACTTTCATTCCAAAACGGTAAATTTAGTGATCCGAAACGATCCCAAATTTTTTTGTCAATATATTTCCTTAAATGTTACCTTAGGAGGAAAAAAATCAAATATAATGAATTAAAATCTAAAGTTATGTTTTGACAAGACAAAAACATAAAAAACGAGAAAAAGTAACAATACATTTTATTAGATGCCTAATAGTTAAAAGAAAATTACTCTAAAAATACCTCAAATTCTAAAGTGCAATATATATAAGTCTACCCCTATCGTTCCACATTTTAGAGCATGTGGCGTATCACGTTCACATTCCACGTACCGGAACAATCCATGTTCCAAGTAACATAGGTCTTGTGAACACGAGAGAGAGAGAGAGAGAGAGAGAGAGAGAGAATACTTGTATCCCGAGGTTGTATGCACAAGAATTATGCGTGACTTGTTCTCAATAATAGGTCTCAGCTGTTTCCTCTCGGCCTCCAACAATAAGTGACGATGAAACTGATCCTGAACCACAAATGAAAACAGTTCTCAAATTTCAAAAAATGACCCCTATAAAATGTTCATATCCTGGATATGCTAAGCCTCCATCCATTTCCAAACTTCATGTCAGGCAGAAAATTGTTAGAATAATAGTAACAAGTCCTTTAAGTTCAGTCTACAACTCAGTTATTTGTTAAATAAATAAAACAATTGCAAAAATGAAACGAAACAGATTTATTACAGACCCTTGTGAAACCTGGACTTGCGATCACAGCACAACGAACAACGTTGAAGTCAATGTGTTTCAGGAAAGCCTACAACATATTAACAGACATGTTAGCCATTGCATTCGGCAACACTTATTCCGAAACTCAAATATGGCAGGAAATGAATTACAAAATTAGGATAAATGTCCTCACCGTTAAAACATTGTCAAAGAACTTATTCAAAGCCTGTAAAGACAAAAAAATAATAGTGAAAATTAAAATTAGTAAATGCCTGGAGAAACCACAACCCATGTCCACTGATGGAAATTTTGAGACAGTTCGATTGAATCTTGAGAAAGCAAAGAACATACTTTATCGTAACCAGCAATAGCAGGCCCATGCTTGCGAGGAATTGAAGCTTCTATTCGAGAACGAGTAATTGTAACACTGTCGAAACATTAAGCGCAACAGTTTAAGAAAGTTACACTTTCAGACTTAATGACATATGTTTAAGAAAGTCAACACTTTCATACTCAATTATGCTACCTTTTACCAATAAGGAATAAATGTGCCAATCCCTCTTGCATTAAGACCACAGCCAGATCAGCACTTGCAGAAGGGTCTAAAATCAAGAAAAAAGAGACAAAGTCAAGATTATGGAAGTTAAATCTGTAACCTTTGTTACACAAACAGAAACATGATTTTTTTAGCATTGCTGTAGTGAAGGATTGCCTATGCAGCTGCCTAGGTGCCACCCTTCCTTGCCAAACAACTACTACTGGAAACAGATCTCAGTGGGCAGGTGCTTGCCAAATGCCATTAGACAACACAGACACTAAAAAGACTAAAGTGAGATGTGCATGGACTTGTCTATAACTCTATGTGTGTTATTGCCATAGTAGCGCTTTGGTAATGTAGTTGGGCGTGTATGATACAGACACCCAAAACTAGAAATCTATGCAAAGGAAATCAAATAAGCAGAATATTGATACCACAGGAAGCCTGCAAAACATTTGGTTTTAAGTACTAAATACCTAGCAATTTTTATTGCTTCAAACATCATAACTTCTCAGGTGGTAATTTCTAGAAGGATACCCATTACCTGTGAGAACTCATAATCATATATCCAATAAACAACATAAAGGATGATATATGAGTATTTAGGTCTTTGACCTACCACAGATTTTAAGCAAGGTGTTACATATATTTTTCTTTCTAATAAACTTTTAAAGTCTTTGACCGACCATACATTTTAAGCTAAGAGTTAAATATAAATATTTTTTTTTGATAAATAAATAAACCAACTTTATTAAAAAAACATCAAGGTGATGCAAAGAATACAAAAACCCAAATCGAAGAACAATCAACTCCTAACCAATAACTCCATCCAAAAAAATTTAAAAAAGCAAACATATCCGGATCAACCATCCTCTCTAACCAACTATACAAAACTATTAGTAAACGACTCTCAAGCCAAGAAACACTATGCTAAACTTCTTGAAACGTTCACCTATTACGCTCCAACCATACCAACCACATCAAACAAAATGGCACCCGGGGGAGGTGGGGGGTGGGGAGGGGGTTTTGAATTGAACATTTCAAAACTATCTACCCAGCACACTCAATACAAAACTGTGTATAATGTCAACCACCATTTCAATTTTCAATGATATATTATTCAATTTATTGCATTTAAGTCATTTAGAAGCACGCCGGCCCCCAGTCTATACTTGTATGTTGTGCGCATCACGTAGTAAATCTAGGCTAATAACTGGAATAAGAACACACAATGTTTTCAAAACTAGATATCATGGTTAGTAGAGGCCGATCTTTGATCGGGCGAGCGGGGGTGCTCACGAAGTGACCTTCCCCAATCGTACCCAAGTTCCCGAGCCGAGGTAACTTTGGTGATGACGGACACGTCGCCTTAGGCAACGAGTCAGGGTTTCCTAAATTCCCCAAAATAAAATATTTAGGTGACGACTCTGTATCTGGAAAAGCAGTCCATGTTTGGCACTTCTTTAAAAAAAAAATCTGTTTTAAAAAATAATTTGCCAGATTTGGACTCTTTGATGATTCATCGGTCTTGCATTATACTCTGCGAGATTAGATATAAGACCATGACACAATTTGAGTCCGAACTGTAGTGAGGCCCGAGGGCGCGTCTACAGTTTCTAGCGACTCTGTTGGGGAGTTAGAGAACTTGACTCGAACTCATGATATCTTGTTTTGATTACACTTATGTGTTTCTTTGCATTGCATTTGCATTGGTGCGCCTAGGACACTGTGTTTGCCGTATGCTATTCCTGAACGGTTTGCTGGAGGCTCGCTTCGAGAAGCATGCCATATGGCTGACCGGTTGTGGGCTCTGCCACGACGGGAACACAAACCCCAGTTTTACCGGGGCACCCTTTTTGACCATTTGACCTAGTACATATTCGAAATCCATAGTGACTATTCCAAACTAGGACAGGTTGCTTACCCATTTATAGGTTGTTTAAAACCGCTGCGTGTGTAGTGAAACCTTAGTTCCTGACAAAATAGGACAGGGTAACCTTACCCTAACATAGGGGTGTTTTGGCTCTTACTTGTTTGTTATGTGCTTTTAGAGTGCGTCTCTACAGGAATTCATGTATTGGTTTGCAAGTTTAGGCATCAGGCCTGCGGCCACCAGTTCAGTATTTCTGGGTATCAAGGGCCTACGGGCACCAGTTCAGTATTTTGAAAATCAGTTTTACCTGAGGGTATCAGTTCACAGGCAGAATTTTGGGACAGAATTCAGCAAAAAGTGCAGTCATTCAGTTGTGCTCGTATCTGTTCTAGTGAAGTCAGACTGAGATGCTCTCTGTTTTCTCTTTTGCTAGGTAGTCATGGAACCATAGCTTTAGAAGGCTCCAATATCCCCCGAGGTTCATCGGATTTGTGCTGATAGACTTTGTCAGGTCAGAGATTCAGTTCAAGGGAAATCAGTATTCCTTCGCCAGAGGCAGGGTAAAAGGGCCAGTTAGGCACAGATCACCGGTTCAGCGGTTACCAGATCAGTGACCCTTATTCACCCCACTAGTGAACAGTCAGGCTGAGGCCTCAGTTTTTATCACAGAGATAAATATACCAGTCAGTCAGCCGGAACAGCAGAACATGGCAAGGATGGAGGAAATGATACGTCAACTCCAAGAAAGTATGAAACTCATGCAGCAAGACGCTGCCCGCCAGACGGAATTTGCCAAACAGCAGGCTGCGATCATGGCTCAACAGGCAGAGTTAATTACCCGGCTACAGCAGCAAATCGGACCATTTGCTTTGCACCAAGCCCCTCCCCCGCCAGGAGCTCCAGCTCCCGAGGAGGCACCAAATGTCCAGGGAGATACAGACATTCCGACAGGACCGGCTTCGCCCCCAATCTTACCCCAATTATCCAAAACACCCACCAACCTGCCAGATTCTCCCTTTGAGTCCGAGGTGGACCCCACAACATTGAAGGTGAGCAAGCTTGAAAAGCTGTTCAAGAAATCTCAGGGCGTCAAGTCCATCCCGGACATTGAGGATGGGTATACCGATACGGCTGTGACGCTGCCAGACCGTTTTAAAATGCCACATATCGACCGCTTTGACGGGTCCGGGGATCCCATGGTGAACTTACGGCTGTTTTCAGACATATTAAGGCCGATGGGCCTCACCAAACTACAGAAGCTTTCTTTATTCGGTCGGACCCTGTCGGGCGTGACGGCCATCTGGTATGCAAAATTAGAAGACGATGTCAAACGGAACTGGGATGAAATGGCCGAGGCCTTTGCTGCGCAGTACTCTTATAGCACGCAAATCGAGATTACAACTCGTGATCTTGAGACAACAAGACAAGAGCCTAAGGAGAGTTTTTCTGATTTCATAGCCCGCTGGAGGACCAAGGCCTCAATGATGACCCTTAGGCCCACTGACAAGGATCAAATCCGGATGATTGTGCGCAACCTCCAGCCCAAGCTCATGCAGAAGATGATCGTTCTCCCCTTTCCTACCTTTTCAGACTTACATGAGATGGGATTTCAGATCGAGGACGCTATGAAGCAAGGCCTTCTTGACCAGGAGAAAGAGCAGCCCAGGAAGCCGTTTTCCCGCAGTTCAAATGCGACCACCAGTGGCGATGCAGCTGCAAGATCTTCTGAAGTGGGCATGGTTACCACCACCGCATCAAAAACAGCTACCCCATTCACCGGTGCGTCCGGAAGTAGCTCACAAAAAACCAAATATCCGCCTCGAGTCAAGAGGGTTTTTACCCCACTTTATATGCCTTTGTCAAAGGCTTTAGAGGTCTTAATCCGAAAAGGACATCTGAAACCATTGGAACAACGGCCTTTACCTGATCCTCTCCCTCCAAAGCATGACCAGACTAGGTACTGTGCGTACCATCAACAAACCAGTCATGACACTGACAATTGCTTTCGTCTTCGCCACGATGTACAAGATCTGTTTGATAACAAGGTCATCGCCGCACCAGCTCAGCAAAGTCTATCGGCGCTGGATCGGTGAACTTCGGGGATAATGTAATGTGATCAAGGGATGAACCACCTGCGGGCGGCGCTCAGTTTACTCCTGATGTGGCGTATGGCACGCACTGTTTCGAGCATTTGTGAATGCTAGTTTTTGTACTTTCTGACTTGGGTATTTGGTCAGTCCGGTTGTTTTGTATATAGTCAGTCTTTTTGTACTGAGTCAGTTGGGTCTGTCTTGTTGTATCGAGTCAGTCCTGTTTTGTTAGAGTCGGGTGATTTCGGGGGTGTTACCTCGGACATCACTTGCTTGTTTTGTGTTGGTCTTTTTGTTTTCTTTTGAGTCTGTTTCTGCCGTGGAGCCAGTAACACCAAAAGATTTGAATGAAACAGCAGTGATTTTCACACTCTTGTGTTTGTTTTTGCCTTGCGCCAGTTGTGCCAGAAAGTTTGAATGAAACGACAGTACTTTTTGCCTGCTCTTCTGTGCCTTGAAATCATTGTATTGACCTAAGCTTTTCAAAACTTTTTCTAACACTGCGGTGAAAACAAAGGGGAAGGAATTCCTTAGGTTTTGCAAAAATTTGATCAATTGAGAGAAAGAGAGACATGCTAAGCCCTTAATGAATGAGATCATGCTTGTTAATGTGAGTACTGAGAAGGATCCTGGCCTGATCCAGATTGGTTCTACATTGTCTTCAGCGCGAGCGACTAGTCGCTTTCTTAAAAGATTTCAAAAAATATATATTTTGCGCGGTCCTGCGAAGACCTGTGTGGAATCGCTCTTGAGATTATGCAGCTTAGGATCGCTCTCAGCCTCGAGACTCAACCCCTCTTAATTTCAAAACCTTGAACTTGGATTCAGAATGTTCCAAGGCCAATCATGATGTGAGGCTTGTGTGGCCAGATTTGAAGCAGCCCGCGAACTAGGGGCAAGAAAGGTCAGATCAAGAAGCTTGTGAAGCTAGATCAGGAGCACCCCTCGAACTAGGGGCAAAATGTCAGATGTGCTCGAAGAGTCAAAGACGAAGATTGGCAAGAATGCAAAATCCCAGAAGGGAGGAAAGGAGAAAGTATTGCTGAAGAACAACTGAGTTCCTACCCACAACACTAGGAGCAAATTTAGCCTCCCCATTGGGTGGACTCCTGCATCGTCAGCGAACAGCAGTTATTCTCTTGGATTCAGATGACTTCAGGATCTCAAATCCATTTGACATGGACAAAGCTACACTTTTACCCTTGAGAGGCTCGCTGGGCTGAAAACCCGAAAGAGCGACCCAGGCAAAAGTTAGAGCGAGAAAAAAAAAAAAGAAATGCAAAAAATGAAGAAAAAGAAATAAAAATCTTGAAAATATTGAAGAAAAGAAAATGAAAAGAAATGAAAAGAAAAGAAGAACAAAGCTCGCAAGGTTGAAAACCCGAAAGGGCGACCTTGGCAAAAGTTAGAGCGCAAAAGCAGAGGTTAAATACACAAGTGTACCTTAACCCCGAACTACGCAAGGCTTGATTCCCATCTTTGGGATACGTAGGCAACTTCATTCTGAAGTCCAGCTGTAAAACACTTCAAATTCGACGGTGTCCATGTGTTGGTTCTGGTCATCTTTGTCTTCTATGTGTCCGAGAATTTGGTTGTAATTGTCATTGTGAGGACTGGTTGCCACGTGCTGCGGCGCTATTCAGACTAGGGGCAACTTTCCATTGCCATCCAGTGTGCTGCGGTACTATTCAAACAAGGGGCAACTTTCCGTTGTCGTCCAGTGTGCTGCAGTACTATTTAAACAAGGGGTAACTTTCCGTTGCCATTCAGAGTGCTGCGGTGCTATTCAAACAAGGGGCAACTTTCCGTTGCCATGCAGCTCCCCTCAAGCAAGGGGCAATTTTCCTTCAAATCTGAGGTTGTGCATCTCGAGAGTGGGTTCTATGCTCGTTGAGCAGTAGCCGTTTACAAAAACAGTTTTGAGAATTTTTACTAAGGTTGACTAATTTTCTCGAAAATTATTCCATGTTTTTCTAAAACTAGACCTTTCTCTTGGATCCAAAAAAGGAAAATTTTCAGTGCTCATAACCTAGCTTGCATGATTTCAAATCAAAAATTGTACAAGCATGTTAATCTAACTCTCATTTTGGTTAAAATTATTTTAATAGAAAGTCAAAAACAAAAAATGGTCAAAATGATGAACTAGGGGCAGAGTTGAG